AAATGGCTGCATCATTAGCGAGGTGGCAAGGAGAAGGTCGATCGAACTATGAAAGCTAGAGTAGCAACAGCGTGGGAGGACTTGAGACGGAGCTGGTCGTCATGATGGACCGTCAAACCACACTCAGAGGCGGCAACAAGCTCCAGGAAGAGATTGCAGCCTGCTATTTTGGCGGGTGCTTGGTTGGCAAGCGGGAAGATAATTTTGGTCGTGGCAAGTTCATGTTATATACGCTCGCAACATCAGGTGTGTACAGCGCCCTTCTCCAAGCCTTTAAAGGGGAAAGGCTTCACGCTTTATTACGCATCTTCGAATTCGTAATTATACCCACTGAATAGATTTTTTGGATGGGACGTAGAGACTATGAATATAACTGCCTCCTTCTCGTTAAAAGCTTCTATAATATTAACAAGCCAAAAGGATCTGGAACCATTTTCTGAGCTAAACGTTAGTGCAGATGGATGTTAACATTCTGCAAATAGCGCATGAGTGTTTTTTATAGATTAGCTTTGAAACAATTTTGCTCGGCATTTTCGTGGATAGCTTCATACATAATGAATTTTTTAAAGGAATCCTACCGGGTATCATTATACCCGGTAGGATTCCTTTAAAAAAATTGTCAAATCCATCGCAGGTCTGGAATTAGAAGACCGAAACCGTTACGTTTTTCTTTAACGGGCATTACATAAGATTCGGTGAATGATTATACATTAAAAAGGAGGTGGCAATCTTGGGCTACTAAAGAAAAACCATCACTTTGAAACGTAGTAAGAGTACCGACAGCGTGTTAATCATAATTGAAGTTAAGCAACGAAGAATCATAACTTCTGCCGAGTTAAAATTTAAACGAGACATGTACTAGAAGAAGGGGGTGCAATTAGATTACGTGTACGCTAATAATTGCTTTGCTCGTACGCTGAACAAAGTCATGAAAGCTCCATGGCGGTGGAATTGTGAGAGAGAAATGGTTTGATATATATACGAGCGCCGAGGAGTGAAGGATGAGTGTAATAGTTGATGTATAACGAGACACAGTCCAAGCATTCATAAGATAAAAGCTTTGACGGGAAGCGCACCCAATCAGTTACAAGAGAAGGGTATTATGGAATAAATAATAGGTTAGCATAAGAATTTAGAAAGGGTAATTTCTTCCCCCAACATTAGATCCTTTTATGACGAAATGAAGCCATAAAACCGGTCTATAGAGAAAGTGGTAAACTAACATCTGATCACGCAATGCTCAGTAATTTATTGTTCTCGGTAATCTTAATAAAAGCTAAAACAATCCAGGCTAGTAACTCCGGCGATTTTTTTGTGGCGAAGTAATTTGACATAATTTTGGCAATTGTATGGTGAATTGAATACGAAAACCCTTGAATAAAAGTCTGCGGGCGAAAAACAGAAACTAAAATTCGCAATGTTACAGTCATGGCAGGTACTGCAAACCAGATATTTTGAAGGAGGCGAATAAAATCAAGCTGATCAAGATTGAATAGAGCAGATCGCTGCGTCGAGAAATTACAAAAAAGACGGATCACTGAGAATGATTAATTGAATGTTGAGCTGGGTGACTCAAAGATCAAATATTGTGGTGGTCAAAAAGATAATGGACCCGGAGGCTATCAAGACAAAGGGAAAAGGGGATATTTTTAGACAATGGGCGCCCGGGAGAATTTATCACGAAAGTAGTCATACATTTGGGGAAGGAGGGACCCGCAGAGCTAATCGAGGTGAAGGATGCTGCTCGAGTATCGTTCAAGCGGTGCTAAAAGAAGATTACTTAAAGCTTTCATTGGTGGATCCGGTCCTTAAGATTATACTGCGGTCTCCTTAAGGGTAGATAGCGGTCTCTGATCAGAAAATCTGTTCCCTATCTTGTAGACATGTATCCCTCATCAGTAGACTTTATTTTCTGACTATAGTATCTTTTACCTTATTGGTAGAACTTGTTCCCTCGTCGGTATACCTTGGTCCATCATTGGTACACTTGGATCCCTCATCTATAGACCTGGGTACCTCATCGATTGACCGAGGTTCTTCAAGGTTCGGATGTTTCGAGCCGCTTACATAAATCGAAATAGCACTAGGCTAGGATACAGTAAAGAAGTTAAAGCATATAACGATTTTAAATACTACTTCCCTTGCGATCCACATGGCACGACTTTGTCGCGCGTTAAGGAATTTGAAAAGTATACTAGCCTGTTCTGGAAAGGGAGCTTTTTGGCTTCCTGTCGAATACAGTTGCGAGGTAAGTGCAGATAGAACCACAGGAATTATTTAGCCTGTGGGTTCTTCGAGTAGCAAAACCCCACTCAAGACCCGCTATCGGAGGTGGTCTCCCTACCGCAAGGTTAAAAATAAAAGTAAAGGCCAGGAGCATAATATTTCTAAGACATCAAGGCTAGGGCCAGGAGAGAGAAGCTACTTGAAGAACTTATTGATAAGTCCACTCTCGACTGGGTTGATCGAGTAGCCACCAATCGGCCATCCATTGAAGCATATTCACTTGAGGCCCAGGTCTATATTCATCAAGACTGAAGCATCTTCCTCTCCGTCCGAGTCGACTAAGGAGTGATACCTGCCGGTCGAAGGGTACACAAGGTGAGTCAAGGTCCGTACGTAGAATCGAAGTACCCCCCTTCCTGTAAGTCGGAAGCTCGGCGCAGTGATTGTTTTCAAAAAGACCCAAAAAGCAGTTTCGAGAGCTCACTTCACCACAATGTCACAATAACAAGATTGGATTTATGGATACCAGTATTTAATATTAAAATACCTAGATCGGTCGTACACAAGGGTGATTAAAATTGGAAATAAAATCGGTGAACAAATGTGTAAATGTTAATTACTGACCGGTAACGAAGGCGATCAGGAAGAATGATTGAATATCGGAATGTGATGGCACCCTGGAATGGTGATTGACGATTGGTGGTGATAGCGATCGGAAAATGATTGACGGTCGGAGTGTATTCGCGATGGAATGGAGATAGACATTTGACGATCAGTAGTGATCGTTATCAAGCCCATTGATCTGTATCGAGACCGCGACCAACAACCCATTGTAATCTCTGTGATGCAGACTACATAAACATTGTGTTTACATAAAAAAACTCAATATGGATCTTTTATCAGAGACCGCTATAAGAGACTACGATCGGAGAAACCGCGATCTGGAGTGGGCCACAAGAATCGAAAGAATTGCAAAGCCAATTGGCACGAAGACGACACGTACTGGTTTTTCTTGATGTACAAGGTAAGCTTTTTCACTAATTTAGTCTCTAGTCGCTTAACGTTTGACAGAGTTTGATCAATTGAAAGAACACGCGTCACCTCTTCTGGTTAGTGTGGTAAATTCGATCAAGATCGGTGTCTTAAAACCTCAAACGTATGCCTAAGTACGGAGTGGGAACCAGCGGAACGATCGTGGGACGAGGACCAATCAAATGGATGGCACCGTTGGGATTATTTACGGAAATATCTCATCCGGTCAGAACGGTTCAGAACGGCGAAAGTGAACGCGATCAAGGGACCGCGATAAGGGGACCGCGATCTGGCGTGGACCATGCCCTGATGCGAGCAGACGGTTGGTATGTCAGGTCTGTGCCACACAGGTACAAGGGGCGATCTGTAGAGGCGACGCGTGGCATCTGATTTTCCGAGTTATAGGGGTAAGGTGTGAGGGTCTGATTGGTTAACATTAAACAGAGTTCAATTTGTTTCTAAACACATTCGTGTCGATCTTCTCCCGGGTTGGATATTTTGGCCTACCGACGTCTGAGAATCTCGACATCAAGGATAGAACGATCACTCCTGGAGCTATTTGGCCATGAGTGCTAGGACTCTCAACACACCCCTACTACGATCGGACGCAGCCAACCGTATCGGTTGAAGTACAAGATCGCTAGACGGCTCAAGTGGCCAGAAAGGCTCGCGACTCAAGTACACATTCTGGCACAAGGTGATCAGGGCAGATCACGGCGACTCTAGGAGAGCGCCAACCCTGAACACGCTATCGGGTGAGGATTTTCCACCCGATCAGCACCAATATCTACAACGGTCAAGTTTAGCATCTCGTCAAGTTCACCTAGAAGAGTGCAACCCGCCCTGCCGACGGGTACACAAGGTGAGGAGGAAACAAGTGCAAGCGGAATCGGAGTACCCCCTCTGTTGGTCGGTCGTCTGGGCGCCAGTGGAGATTCGGGATCGCCTCAAAAATTGAGCGAACCCCACTCCGTCAAGATGGTGCGCGTGCCTGGATCTTCTGGTGACTCGGGAATTCACCGTGAGTCTCGAGATATAGATGTTAAGATCACGACTGAACCTGGGATTGGAGCGTCAGCGGAATCTGGATCACCACAGACGCTCGAAGAGAAAGGATCCCAAGATAATTATAGTTCTGGGAGGGGCTATGATGATAAGAAAGTCAAAGAGGAAGATCACCAAGCTGATCTGGAAGAAAAACCTCAAACCCCTCCTGTGGTCCCTTCGGGGACCACCGCGGATCGTGCTGTAAAGCACGATCTTCCAGATGCAACCCCTTCACTAAAAACGGAAAGATCTTCATCTAAAACTACCGTCCAACCAATGGCGAGGAAACACACTCCTAAGTTGGCCCGTTCAAAGACTAAGACGGCAAATCCACATCGAAACAAGCAAGAGATCAAGGCAGAAGGTCAGGATGTGGAATCAGAAGGCTGGCAATTGGAACGGATCACCTGGGAATTATATCGGCAACAACTGAATAAACTTCTTGCAGAAGACCCATTCCTAAAGGTGCTGAAACCTAAGCTGATAGGGTCGATTTAAGGTCCAGTATCGCCGCCAAAAGTGACCTCGAATCAGTTGGAGGCATGGCATCGGCTTATTCAGCTGCTAAGAGACTAGGATTTACAGCTAGAGCTTTCGACGCACAAACGCTCTTGGAATTTAATCACGATCGGGTGATCAAAGCTGGACAGCTACTATTTGAAAAGCTAACTCTACTGACAGGGTCTCACAACCCTATGAGCCAACGGATCAAGAGTGAAGAAGGACACTTGAGCCAGCGAGTCGAGAGAGAGGAAGAACACCTGAGCCAAGGAAGAGAGTCATCCGACCGCAACGTGAAAGAGGAATACACGGGGTCGTCACGCTATGCCTCAGCAGCATCAGATATGGACTCAGACGAGTCGTTTGGGATGCAGCGGATGTCGCTGGGACCGACAGGGGCAGCAATGCTTAACAACATGCTCGACCCGGATAACAATGGAATACGATCGACTCGAATTCCGGCTTCACAGAATGCAAACACGGTGGGGCCAAGCCAGTTGCAAACATAATTTAAGGCCGCCATGGACAAATTCATTCGCGATCGCGAAGAATAAGGAGCTAACTACCCGATCGTCCCGGACGTCGAAATGGAGTCAGTAGACTCATACCGCGATCGACCGGGAGAACATGAGTCAGATCGCAGGGGACCATATGATTTAAGACGACCACAAGTGGCAGCTGCAGGAACCGCTCCTACGGGAGGTTTCAGCGCACAGAGGATTAAATTGTCGGCGATGGCCGATCTGAAAGAATTTTAAGGACGTGATCAAGACGAAGAACGTGCTAGAGATTTATTTAACAAGATGAAGACTGCCTTTATACGGGACCAGGCTCCAGACGACGAACAATGTCTGGCATTTAAGACCTGCTCACAGGACCTGCCCGAAATTGGTACAGCCAGTTGAGCCGATCGACGCGCAATGGTTGGAAGTCGTTGTCGGAAGGCTTCATGGTCCGATATGGGGGATATGGAATGTCAGTAGGAAGACAATACTACCACGCGCGGAAGATACCGAATGAAACCCCGTTGGAATACTTGGACCAGTGGAATGTAGCAGGAATGCGAGCAAAAGTGGCGTTCAGAAATGGATCGCCAGCAAGCCGACGTGAGCATGTAGAACAATTCATTGACACTTTGGATAATTGATAGTTGGCGAAGCACTGACCCTATTGCGAGTGCATAATGCTAACACGATGGAAGAAACTCTACGCGCTTATCAGCGTACGATTTTTGGACAGAAAAAGGATCCGACTGACTCGAACAAGTACCGATCGCGATCGGCTACGACGCCAGCCCAAGTATAATCCAAGACACCACGGATGGTGAAGGCATTCTTGCAGAAAGTGAGGAAAGCGACTTAGGCTCAAGTTCGGACGATGCAGATGAAGAAGATTTTTGCCGTAAGGTTTTTGTGGCGATTATCACTGATCAGGCTGCAGACCCAGGGGATCAACGAGACAGATCGCGAAAGACAGACCGAGATGATGATCGCGATCGGGGCGGAGATGCGAAATCCTGCACACACGGCTTGAGAAGACATGACGATCGCGGATGCTGGAACAGATTGACCTGTCAGAAGTGTGGCCGAAAAGGGCACTTCTCTGACAAATGTCTACATGTGTGTTCTGCTTGTGGGGAAGTTCACGAGAGCGGCCAATGTCCCATGGAAGAGTTCTACAACCTGATCCGCAAGTGGTACGTCCCAACCAAGCACGCAGGACTATTACCGACCTAGGCAGAAGAGATGTTTAAATAAGGACGCTCGCCAGGATGGAATCTGGCACGAGCCGAGCGTTCTAGGCTATGCATATATGCATTTGTGAAGAAGGGCAGGATCGATTTAGGGAGTAACAATCGGATCGACCCGACCGCTAATACATGTGATTTCGAACACCATCGTTGGTGTAGTATTTCAAGTGTAAAAAAGGTGGATGAACATTCACGATCTCCCGTTAAAATGGAGCTCGATCTAGCGCCGGGGGAATCGAGAGGATATTGGAAATATCACACGCCAGGAAAATGATTTAAACAGGCTAAAGCGGTGGGTAAAATCAATAACGAGAAGGCCACCATGCTATTCGATTCTGGGGCCGAAGTCTGGATCATAGACGCCACCTTTGCTCGTAAGGTGGGATGTGTGATTGATGACAGCCAGAGACAGGAATGTGTGGAAATCGGGGAAAGTGCCTCCATGACGGAAGGACGCACCAAAATCAAGATCACATTAAACGGAACGCTGGTGTACTACTTTGACGTTTGGGTGGGCGATCAAGTGGGCCAAGAAGCGATTTTAGGTATGGACTTTATGGTGCCAGCGGGAATACGGTTAGATCTGGCGGACGGTACGCTTTGTTTGCCAGATGAGGTAAAAATTCACTTGGCAGGGCGCAGGCCTCCGTATGGGGTAAATATGCAACCGATCGTTATCCCAGACCAACTTATAGTATTTTCCTGCTGGAGAATCCACGGAGATGAGGATTGGAGCAGGTTTCCCTAAGTCCAAACTTTGGGTGAGACGGGATAAAAATGGGTGCCGACGGTGAATACTGGCCGGGCCAGATCAAGTACTTGATACTGACCAACATCGTCGATCATCGATTGATTCTCAATCACGATATCTCTCTATGTGATGGATGATGACGGACATGATACCCCGATCGCCGGGCTATGTATCAGTTGGATCACGCCGGTATAATGAATGGCAGACTTTGGCGTTTGAAGCTACAACGGAATCAGCCAAGGAACATCCGATCGAGTATTCGAGGCACTTAGTGAATCACCCGTCATACCCCATCCCAAAGAAGATTCTGACCCACAGAGATAAACAAGGAAGGAATATGGAGGGAAGCCGATCAGATCTGCTAGCTCCACAAGCAAAGATGACGGATGTCACAGAACGCCAGATCGTGAAAGAGGATCGCCCCGACAGCGACGAGCAGCGATCACTAGAGGCACCTGCTGTGGTCAATACCGCAGTGTAGGCAGAAGAGGGCTATCGGTCACAGGAACACTCGGACGAAGTAATCAGACAATCACAAGAGATCGCGATCGGCGATGATCACCCGGTCGGAGACGATCAAGAGATCGAATTGTCAGATCAAAAGATACAGAATGCTACAGTACTGAATCGCGAGGGAGACGTGACAGACGAGACTCAAACGAAATCGGTGGCTTATCGCCACGATAGTGGTGATTTATTTGCGGAAGATGTGGACCAACATATGGCACTCATGCCAGAAATAATTGCGATCACAAAGGAAGTGGCTACAGATGACATCCAGGTTGGAGATCTAGTTGTCCCGCTGACATACGATCAGGAGAAGCTGAGGAAACTGATTTGGAAGAATCGCCACTTACTCATAGGCAAAGGGAACGCCTTGTCTCCAGCTGCACGTGGAGCAGTATGTGACATTGATGTTGGATGTGCCAAACTGATCGCGCAAAGAGTACGGCCGGTGGCACCTAAATATCAAGAAAAATTGGCGGACCTGATCAAGGGATTATTATCAGCCAAGATCATTCAACCGTCCATTTCACCTTGGGCTTCTCTGATTGTGGTGATTATCAAGAAAAATGGGGAGGACACATGGCTGTGCATCGATTACAGGAGGGTGAATCAGTTGACAAGATTGATGATATACCCCATGCCACTATTCAGCGAATTATTACAAGACTTGGATAAAGCGATGTGGTATTTCTCGCTAGATATGGCGAGTGGTTTTTGGGTAGTGGAAATGAAGGAACGAGCAAGATCTATTTCTGCATTCATCACGCCGTCGGGTTTGTTTGAATGGTTGCGAATGTCTTTTGGGCTAAAAAAACGCACCCCAGATATACCAACGACTTATCGAAAATGCACTATATGGTTATCTCAAGATCGACCCAACACCTTACTCGCATGCAGTACCATCGTCGACACCAACCGATGTGTTCACTGACGGAGTGCCAGACACAGATCCAAGATCATCAGTTTCAGGCCGAAGGTCCTATATCGATGACATCTTGATACCTGCTGAATCCTGGTCATCTCTGTATGAAAAGGTGGAACGATTGCTTGAGGTGTGTGGCCGATGAAATTTATCGATCAATGTGGCAAAGAGTTTCCGGGGGCGCTGTGAGGTCGACTATCTAGGCCACCAAGTTTCACATAAAGGGTTGGAAGCCCACTTCAAGGGTTTAAACTCAATTGCGAATATTTCCTTCTCTCGAACTCTGCGATCAATGCAATCATTCTTGGGAAGCCTAAATTACTACAGTCGTTTTATCGAAGACTTCGCTATATATGCGTCTGTACTCTACGAGCTACGGGAAGCAGATTTCCACGAGATCAGCCAAGATAAAGAAGTTCGGATAATGATATTCAACAGTGAACCCGATCGTGATCACGATTCGCGAAATGAGTCCGGCGACGATCTGGACCAAAAAACAGGGGGCGATCTGGACCGAAAAACAGGGGGCAATCTAGATTCTGGAGATGGAAGTCGATGGAAGGAAGCGGTGATGGCTTTTAACTTGCTAAAGGGCAAAATTGCTGAAACACCGATTTTAAGACATTTCGATCCCGATCGAGCACCGGTGATAGTGGTGTACGCCAGTAAGTGGGCGGTATCAGCCGCATTGCTTCAAGAGTATGACGGCACGTATTATTCTGTCGTTTTCTTCTAGTCGCACGCTGAAATCCAACGAAGTCAATAACGGAATTGTTGAGAAAGAAGTGCTAGACCTCCTCCGAATGCTAGACATTTGTTATACGATGTTGGTTACGCGGGAGATTATGGTGCTTACGAGATACTCGACGTTGGCTTGGCTATTGCAGTCGTCGGGCTTAACGGAAGACTAGAGAAATGGGCGGCGTTACTATCGAACTGGACGTTAGGTATCAGACGGTGCGAAAAAGGCGAAGACGAAGTGCTAAGTACGCTTGCTGCAAGTTTTACACCTCAAAAGGATGTAGATGAAGTGCTGATTGCGATCGCTCCGAGGAAACAACCACGGAAAAACATTAGTATGCCACCACCCAAGTCGAAGTTGACGAAAGTGTCCTGGTGGTCAGTTTCGATGGATCGGCTAGGGTAAAGAAGCAAGGTGGCGCTTACAGCGCAATAATATGGAAGTTGCTTGAATGAACGATCGTGGTGGCTACTCTAGAATTTGCGGAAGATTTGACGGTAAACGAGGCTGAATATCGTGGGCTGTTGCTGGGTCTAAAGTCACTGTCCGATCAGATCAGAGGTCGGGTGATCTTTTGTGGTGACTCAAACTTGGTAATAAGACAGATGCGAGGTGAAATCGACTGTTAGGCACCAGGTCTACAAATTTTATAAGATAAGGCAATATAGAAACTTCGATCGTGGCCAAAACACGACTTGCTACATGTGAAACGGCACTGGAACCAGAGTGCTGATCGACTAGCGAGCGAGGCGGTACGTCAGGAGAAAGGAAATGTCGCAGTATCAGACCAAGAACGAGACGATCTCGTGACCTTTATCGGTCAAATGAACTACAAATACCAAAACAGACTTACCACCCAGTCAAGGTAGCCGCGATCACGCGATCAACGACGCGAAGACAATGCCCCCAGACAAATTTGCATGAAGAAATTGTACAACAAGTCCGGATCGAACTTAAAACCAGGCGCAAAATGAGTAAAGTTGGATATCGGACTTAAAGATATGTCTGATCGGGGATATAGCCACGCTGAGTGCTAGAGACGCAAAGATTTGCGCACTAATCTCACCAGACTACGAAGTCAACCAAACTGGACTGCTATTTTTCTGCACCAGGGTGGCATTAAAGGAAAAGATCGTGGATACTCAATTCGTCTGGTAATTCCAGAGTTGCTGCAACCTACACCATTACCATACTCGTCTAGAGGGTGGGCATCAAGGGGTAGGCTGTACACACTATCAAATCAGGGCGAATTTATATTGGCGAGGATTGTACCGGAGCGTGCAACGCTATGTTGGCGAATGTATTGATTGTGAAACCGTCAAAGGTCGCCCGCAAGATCGGGGTGGATCTCCAGGCAACTTGCAAGCGACGTATTCATTCCAAATCCTGGCAATGGATCATATCCCATCTTTACCGCGATCGTTAAAGGAGAATACTGAGTTGCTGGTGTGGGTCGATCAGTTTTCGGGTTACGTGATCGCAAAAGCGAGTTCGTCCAGAATAGCATAGACGATTGCAGAGAACTATGAAGAAGCGTATTTCGAAGATTTGGTGCGAGTGAAATCATCCGTCATGATCGGGAGCCAGATTTTATGTATGACTTCTTCCGATCTTTCAACAAGATCGCAGGACAGAAGCAACGAGCCACAATGGCGTATCGACCTCAAGCGAACGGAACTGCAGAACGTATGGTTTAAACTCTAACGCGATCGATTCAGATGTATGTCGCTGACGAAAACCAGAGAGATTGGGATGAATATGCAGAAAGATTAACCTATGCGATTAATACCGCACAAGATCGAGTCCGCGGAGAGACACCATTCTATCTGATCCATGGCTGGGACCCCCGATTGCTGTTGGAAGCGGCATTACCAATGGAAAGTGTAAAACCTCGAGATCGAGATCCATGAAGATGGACATATAACATACAGCGTCAGTATCAACAGGCAAGAGCAATCGTGAACGATCAGTTAAAGTTCGCTATCCAGGACCGATCAGATGGTCACAATGAAGACCGAAATCGGCTAGAGATCGATCAAGGGGCACAAGAGTGGTTGTATTTGGATCGCGTGAAGGATGGATATGCTCGAAAGTTAGCCCATACGTGGCACGGACCATTTCGAGTAATGGAAAAATGTGGAGTTCATGCAGTAAAATTGGATATCGCAAGCACACCTTATAGGTTGTTCCCGATAGTACGTGTGTTAAGCTAAATCCGGTGAAGATGTTCCCAGAGCGGCCTCAAAGTCAACTGAAGGTAGACGAGTCCGATCGGGTCGATTTCGACGAAGCCTTACTACCAGAAGATAGCTGGTAAGGCGGGTTGAATGATGGTGAATTCGAGGTAAAAAAGATTGTGGACGTCCGACCGGGTCGAAAGACGCGTTACGGACGAGTACACCGTCAATTTCTGGTTCAATGGAAAGTTAATAGCGATCCGTATTGGGTGGATGAAGCAAACTTGAAATGTGGCGCTCTATTACAAGAATTTGATCACGATCGGATAAGTCAAAATAGGCTCGAAATGATGCAAACGCACGAAGAAGAGCCAGGAGTCTAGACCAGATCGAGGTGGATGGGTATGCAAGTGTGCAAGGAGGTTGCACATAGTCGTACGGTGGGAAAAGTTACACCAGGAGGCGGTGTATGAAGGAGGAAGGTATGTTTTTAAGTATGTGTAGCAATTGAAGCACGATCGCGGCCCAAGAGGCCTGAAGTAGAAGACATTTTTTTTTTTTTCGGAGAGATCAAGATTAAATACAGATTGAAGAAATGAAATTGAAACACGAAATGTGTTGAACTCGATAGACTACGGGGCGAAGAACTTACCGGATAGGCGAGGGATTGACATGCCTGGGTGATTCGCGATCGAAGTCCGGTACTAATTACGCCATGGCTCAGCAGAGTTCGTCAACGACAAAGCGAAAGGCCAGGTTGGGAATGTTAGTCTTCCCAGTCCCCAACCCGGGGTACCAGAACTGCTTCTCATGTAAGCGAGGTAGGTGCAAGAAAACCGGGTCCAGCAGAATGTCCAAGTCGCAATGGCCTTCTACCATTCCTTGGAGTATGAACTTGAGTACGGTTTTCCAAGGAGGTCCAGATCACGATCGCCGCTGTTTGCGCTGATTGCAGAATAATGCCAACCCAGAATCTTTAACCCGATCGGCGGAAGAAATGGGCAAGGTATGGGTTTATTCCCACAACGTCTGGATATAGCGCTGTTCGAAAGAGTGTTATAGGTCCAGCAACTGCTCGAACCACCCAACGGGCTGGAAAGATATGGGCGCAATCTTCACGCGAAAAGATTTACTCCTGGCGATAAAGCGCGGCAACCCGCGCCGAAGAAATCAAGTGGGGAGACCGCTCAGACATGGGAGGTGCTTTTCAATACCGCAGGAGAGGCTGGATAAGGGTTAGGCTTGGGCCTGGCGAGATGAAGATAGAAGAACTCCAAATCCAGTTCCAACACGCTGATCCAGCTCACCCGGGGCGCAGACCAAGGTGAAACATGAACAGAAGATTTTGGTACGCGACAGTGATACCCGGGTATCCACTGATCGCGGGGCACCTTAGTCTTGGGAAGATCTTTGTACTCAGCCGAAGACAACAGATTATTGGTTGGGGCTCGGAACTATTCCGTAACGCTGATCGGACCCTCCGAACTGCTAGAAGCTTTGCCAAAAAAGTCCACCTTGGAAACCTTGGGTTTTGGCCTAAGGTAAGCGGCAACTGGGGAGGTGGGGAATCCACATCCGGGCTGGAGGTATCCACTACGGTCAACTCTGGTAACGTAGAAGACGAAGTCGTCGAATTACCCAAAGACCCTTTATGCGGTGAAGAAGAGCGTGATCGGGAGAGTGCAGGAAAGGTTCGAGGCCCAGTATCCGATGAACGTCATCATCCGAGCTAGCTGGAGCAGGCGTCGGATTGCGCGCTCTGCCTTTGACTTTTCGAACACCAGGTCCGGGAAGAGCGGGAGTCTTGGGCGTTAGTTTTGAGATCGTGTGGAACTGTGGGGTGATCGGGAAGGGTTGTTCTTCGGGGTTTTACACGGCCCCAGATGGATCGGCGACGATACCGGACGCAGTCGGAGAATGAGTCTTGGGTGTCATCTAGACGACCGACTGCGAGGTAGCCTCGATGCTGGCTCTCTTGGTCCGCGGAGGAGGATTTAGAGCATAGGGGCTTGGGCGTTTGACACGAGCACTCGTAGATGGGGCCGTCTCAACTGGACGGGACGGGGAAGATAAACTGGGGCCGGTAACGAGCGTAGCTATGCTCGTTCGAAAAACGTCGCGATCGCGCAACGCCTGATCGCGCTCTAGCTCCAAACCCGAGATAGTAGCTTGAAGCAGACCCAACTGATCGTCACGATCGGAGAGCAAGGAGCGCGATCGGTCATAATTAGCTTCCAACTCAGCCAGATCATCCCGAAGTTGATCGCGCTCCACTGATACAGCGGCAAGAGCAGCATGCAGGTGGCGAACCGTGGTCTGAGCCTTGGAACAGTCTGCTTTGTACTTTGCTCTCTTAGATTTATCCCTTTGAGAGTGCGGCTTGGAATCGAGCGTTCCCCTCATACATGTGTCGTCGCAAGGAAGCCAGCTCGAGATCATGACGTTCTTTGAAAGTATGAAGTGATGGGATCGTTTTCAGAAGTTTCGACTTTAGGTTGCTATTTTTGCTGCTCGTAGCAATTTTCCGTGCGAATTGCCTCCTGAAGCAAAGCGACTTCAGCGAGTGCATCTTTCAAATCCAGACGAAGGCGATCACAACGAGTTTGAGCGAAGATCACAAAAGGAGAGGCCGACTCGGTAAGAGAACGGAGTTCCCGTTCTAGTAAAAAAAAACCCTCCGAGTTTGCTCTTGCAACGCTTGCTCCAGATTGCGATAGCTATCCACAAGATCCTGCTGGGATGCGATCCGCTGGTAAAGTCCAGCGATCATACTAACCGCGGTCGCTTCATCAACTATTGGTGTTTCAACTCGAGTGGTCGGCAACGGAATAGCCCCAATAGGGTCGCCACTTGCAGCAAAATTGTCGACGACATCAAGCGTCAACGCGGAGCTCATCGGATCAGTGGTTGCAGCAGATTCTACGACCCCAATCGGTTCGTCACTTGCAGCGGAACTGTCAAGGACAATAGGCGTCAACGTGGAGCCGATCAGTTCCTTACTTGAAGCGAGGTCCACAACAGCATCGAGTCCCAAAGCAGGGCTGATCGGACCTCCGCTCACCGAGGTACCTTCAATCGCGTCTGTAGTGGAATCGGGGCCAGTTGGGTGTTCGCGTGGCGAAAAGTCAACACCGACCGAAGGTGCGGGACCAGATTGCGTCATCACCTAGGGAGATGGCGCACAACTAGTTGGTGGCAAGCTGGGCGTGGACGACGGGGAAACCATGGAAGGCAGCGGGAGGATAAAAATCGGCTATTTGTGCAGGGGGCGATTGTGGAAAAGTCGATCAGGATCGGTGTCTTAAAACCTCAAACGTATGCCTAAGTACGGAGTGGGGACCAGCGGAACGATCGTGGGACGAGGACCAATCAAATGGATGGCACCGTTGGGATTATTTACGGAAATATCTCATCCGGTCAGAACGGTTCAGAACGGCGAAAGTGAACGCGATCAAGGGACCGCGATAAGGGGACCGCGATCTGGCGTGGACCATGCCCTGATGCGAGCAGACGGTTGGTATGTCAGGTCTGTGCCACACAGGTACAAGGGGCGATCTGTAGAGGCGACGCGTGGCATCTGATTTTCCGAGTTATAGGGGTAAGGTGTGAGGGTCTGATTGGTTAACATTAAACAGAGTTCAATTTGTTTCTAAACACATTCGTGTCGATCTTCTCCCGGGTTGGATATTTTGGCCTACCGACGTCTGAGAATCTCGACATCAAGGATAGAACGATCACTCCTGGAGCTATTTGGCCATGAATGCTAGGACTCTCAACACACCCCTACTACGATCGGACGCAGCCAACCGTATCGGTTGAAGTAAAAGATCGCGAGACGGCTCAAGTGGCCAGAAAGGCTCGTGACTCAAGTATACATTTTGGCACAAGGTGATCAGGGCAGATCACGGCGACTCTAGGAGAGCGCCAACCCAGAACGCGCTATCGGGTGAGGATTTTCCACCCGATCAGCACCAATATCTACAACGGTCAAGTTTAGCATCTCGTCAAGTTCACCTAGAAGAGTGCAACCCGCCCTGCCGACGGTTACACAAGGTGAGGAGGAAACAAGTGCAAGCGGAATCGGAGTACCCCCTCTGTTAGTCGGTCGTCTGGGCGCCAGTGGAGATTCGAGATCGCCTCAAAAATTGAGCGAACCCCACTCCACCACAGTATAATTGTACGGTCTCCTGAGAGGATCGGCATTTGTTCTAAGAACATGGCTTCTGGATTATTTGGCCAGGAGTGCAAGAAATATCATCCCCTTCCAACTGCAATCGGACGCAGTTAACCCTAGTGATTTAGGTACAAGATCTCGAGACGGCGTAAGTGGTTAGAAGACTCGCGAATACAGTAACGACATTTTTGAAAAGGCGATCTCATGCGAAATTAAGGCAGTAAATAGAGTACCCCAAGAAATCTTGATCGTATGAAGATTTCCGCGCAATAGACTTAAATTTTAAACACGGTCAACTTCAACATCGACTCAAGTTTACCTGGAAGGTTCAACCCGCTTAAGCGACGAGTACACAAGGTGAGGAGGTAATAAATATACACGGAGTCGGAGCAACCTTTCCGTTTGTCGATTTTGTGGGCGCTACTAGAGAGTCGGGATCAAATCAGCAGTTTTGCGAATCCCACTCCACCACAGCCCCACCTCCATCTTAGCTTTAGTGGCATCGTCGTGGATAACAGGCGGTGCCATTTGCTCGTAAAATTGTAGATCTTACGGGTACAGAATCATAAAGCAGGTATCACTCACACATAATGTTGCCCAATAAAATTCACGGTTACAAATATTTACTTAATAAAGAAAGGGAGAGATGCTAACCGAAAGGGAAATGAATTTAACAGTTCTCCGAGAATAATGAAATAATCTTGGTTTCCATCCATCAGAAAGAATCAAGCAACACTCATTATATCTACACACCAGTATATGTATATGTGATCGGTGCGTCGAAGGTGAGCAGAATGGGTGACCTGAACAAATTTACAGCTCTATCGTTTTCGTCGAAACTAATGACTATTTGTATTCGAGATTCGCGAATAAATCGACTTATTAGACACAATTATGCGATTTGCTTAGTAGATGATTTAACTTTCTGCCTAGTCGTTCACAAGCTTGGATTTGGACCCTCCCCCAAGAGTTTCCGTAAGTATGTATTCCTCCTTTGCATTGACGGCCCGGTTTTTAAAGCACCGCAACAAAATATGGGTCGCCAATACAACGGAGAACTATGTAGCAGCTAGATTACAAAATACTGACACACCAGCTCCTATTTCATACTGGTAACAGAGTTTCGAGTGAAGATGTAGTGTACGTTCATTTTTGTTTTAAGCTCTATGAATCAGCGTAATGATTTATATCTACCAGGCACACTAGTGATTATTGTAGCAAGTACTTACATAAAATTCTAGTTTGGATTGGTTGAACTAACGCAAGGCGAGTATAGAAGCTGCAATCAATCATTCATTGCACCAGAAATAAATCATGGGAAAGCACTTCTTTGCTGAAAATAAAGCATGAGTGCTGTTCACTTTGCACATTCGTATAAGCCTCTTTTTTGACCTGATCTTGTTGTTGACCTGGCAGAGACGGTACCCTTGCAATGTGCACCCGCCCCTCTCTATAAATGACAACCTTGTGTCCAATTTTTATAGTGCGTCTTACAAAAAGGTTCATGTAGGATTATGAGAGTAAGAAGCTGCATGATCTATTTGTGGAAATTTTCACCGATGATTTACCTAAACATTGCATGGGCCGGTCCAAGACAGATCCAACGAGCTGGCAATATTCTCGTCTACTCCTTCATTCGCCTCGCACGTCGTTCAGTCGCGTCTGTGGAGCTCTCTCCCGCCAGTGCTTCAGTTCCGGACGTAGCACTAGCAATCACAGCGCTAACCGAAATATCAGCTCCACAAGCACTCAGGCACTGAGAGACGGTAAGGTTCACAGGATGAACAGTAGCCTTAATGCTGGTCCAGGTCTTGCGCAGGTTGCAGCCGCTTTCGCTTCAATGGACGGTGCATGATTAAAGTAGTACGAGCTTTCCTGTGACAATGACGAGCACTGCCCGGTCTCTGGAAATGATTGATATTTAAAAACAGCGTCGCTATTTAATCAATGAGACGTACGGCAGCCACACGAGCTCGACTGACTCTAACATCTTGCGCACGATTCTGCTGAAAGGTGACAACATGCCAGCTTAACGTTCGATGCCGAATTTTTTTTGTGCGGACTTACAAGTGCGCTGTATGCGACAATAATTAAGTCAATAACGGGACGAATTAGAATTGCTGCACCAATCGAATCCAAGATACTGCGCTTAAAACCGAAGGACGTGCAGACTGTGGGCCTGCTGGGATGCCTTGCCGAGATACTCAAGACGAAGCTGCTTTAGATGAACAAAACGGTGGTGAGGCCTGACGCTTACCGCGACATACACAATTTGAT